GTTTGATACTAAATAGACGAGTATGAAGTCTTTTAATATTGTTAATGACTTAATAAAGATTCAAAGAATCAAACATCATATGATACAATTAAATAAACATAACATCAAAATTTTGCAGTGATTTTAATTTGTCATATGATTTCCTTGATTGCATAGCCAAACATACTGTACAATGAATTTCTATGAAAGTGAAGGTCAAAGAAATCGAGAGAACCATGAAATGATTTCATGGAATTTTCTCTGTAGTCTACAGATGGGCATGACTTGCGCTGGAAGCGCACGTTCCTTAAAAAAATGTCTTAGTAAAACATTTTTTTGCAGTACTTCCACGTAACGCAAAAAATGTGGTATTTGCGATACGTCCACCAGCGCAAAAACAATTGGGGGAAGTGATACTTTTTGGTAGCGCAAGACGTTCCGGAGCTACTAATTCGCGCTACTTACATAGAAATAACAAAGCGCGAATTAGTAGCGCCGGAACGTCTTGCGTTACCAAAAAGTATCACATCCTCCACATTTTTTGCGCTATGTGGAAGTATCACGTCCACCAAATTTATTGCGCTGGTGGAACCTAGATTCCTCCAAAAGTAGCGCAAGACGTTCCTTACCCATCTACAGACTGTAGATAAACATAAGTTTCATGTTGATTTCTGCTTATTCGATCAAATTACTCTTAGTAGTTGCAACAAATATTCACACAGACAAATGTGTGCTTAATAAAGCGATACATACGAGACAATAATTAATAGTTATGTCAAATTACTTCATTTAATGAAGTTGTAACATTTGTTGGATCAGTTAAGTTTTCATTTAAATGTGATTCATTTCCAAAAAGGAATTGAACTTTTTCTTCCTTGAGTCAATCTTCAGTTTCAAATGATGTATTGAGGATAAAAGAAATGATAAGATGTGTGCAACAGATGTGAGAACAAGTTATTTTAGAAATTTATTAGAAATAAAGAGCTTTTAGTATTTTTTTGAAGATGAAAGCTAAGGGCGTACAGCGATATAAGGCAATGTTATGGGATAGCAAAAAGAAGACAACACTTGACAAAAGTACCCGAAAAGTTTCATTAATCAAATAAATTATCTATCCAACACAGAAGGAGAAAAATATAAATTTTTGCATCTTATAACCATCTTCGCAATATCATTGGGTAAAAGAAATAACCTTCTTATTTCCTCTGGCGTGTGTGACTTCTACACTCATGAATGTCTTTTTTATGATAAATTTCTTAGCAACCATACAACTGTCTGATAAGAGAAACTTTTGTAATAAATACAATGTTAAACATCTAATTAAATTTATATGGGGAAAATTTATTTCTTTATTCATACATAACAAAGTTTTTCGTAGAAAATGAGGAGTAACCGTGAAATTGAAAGAAACAAGTCAGGGCTTGGAAATGATATATCAATTAGAAGATTTATTGAATTTGGAATTTCTTGCAATTAATTTCGATTTTATTTCCTGAGCCAAACATATTGTTGTACGAGTATGTTTCACACCACAAAAGTGTGGTGTCATACGATGAGGTGCAGTTAATTTAATTTTTAAACTTGTGAGAAGTATTTTGATTCAGTGCAGATAAATTGTTGTTTAACACTTCAAAGGTAATTAATTAGGTAGTACAATTAGGTATATAAGTTCAAAGAAACTACGTATAAATTATTTTGCCGTTTATTGAGCTGTTAAAAATAACAGAAGATGAAAAAAAAAAATTTTAATTTA